ACTAGGGATTGAACTCAGGGCGTCAAGTGCACTAGGCAAGTGCTCTATCACTTGAGCCATGCCCTTAGTCCTTTTGCATTTAATTTGTTTTTCAGATAAGGTCTTAAGCCAACTTTGCCCAACCAGACTCGAACCATGATCCTTCTACCTCCGCCTCTCCCCAGTAGCTGGGATTAAAGAGATGGAACACCAAGCTTGGTTTATTGTTCAAATTTTTCATAGCATTACTGGGTTTTGTTTTGTTTCAGTTGCTAGATTTGCCTATTTTTTCCTTTCAGTTCTATGTTTTTTGCTGTGAGTGTCTGGAAGCTGTATCATTAGGTACACATACATTTAAGATTTGGAACATTGATGTCTCTGGTGTGCTCAGCAGACACAAATCTCAAACCTCTCTGGAAGGACAATCTTGACAAGCACACATGAGCTTCATAAATAAAGTCTCACCGAATTAACTCATGATACATAAAGGATACTATTGTAACACAAAGGATACTATTTGCCTTGGCTAAAATTAAAGAGGATTCAACAAACAATATTAGAGTACACTCCCCAAGAATTTCAGGTCAATGAATTAATATAAACCACCTCTTAGGCAATAAGACTAAACAGACCAACAGAACAGCAATCAGACAAAAAGTAGACATATAAAAGAAACCCAAACTCTAAGAAATCAGAGAAAAGCTTATTAAAACCAAAATGTGATAAACACCCACCTAATGCTAAGATGAAAATGTAAAATACTAAGTGCTGATGGAACCACCAGAATTCCTACACTGCTGGTATAGGAAAACTGAAAAAAAAAAAAAAAAACCAAAAAAATACTTCCAGTATCTACTAAAGTTTAACTTAGGTATACTTTATAAACTAGATTTTACTGTTAGAAATACCCAAGAAATATGTGCATATTTTTACCAGGAGACAAGTACTGGATTGCTCATAGAGCCCAAACTGAAAGCTAATGATGTCACTGAAATAAATGCTTGTTAAAGAGTAGATGAAAATAGCAGAAGAAGGAATACTTTATTTGGGGGTAAAAAAAAAAAAAAAGGTTTGAAGAAATTCCCCAGGATGTGGCACAAAGGGATAAAGAGAAATATGAAAAAGTAGCAAATCTCACAGACCAAAATATGAAGCTATAAACAGGACTAGGAGCTGGAAGTGATTGGTATACAAAGAAAACAGAATTTCCCAGAACTGATGAACAAGATCGAAACTCGGTTTCATGAGAAGTGAGTTCCTGAGGAGAAACACAAGTTACCTACATTCAGAAGGCTCATGTTTGCTGCAGAAGTTTTTGGATAGTCTGTATTGTTTTAAAGTTGAGTAAAGTGAGGCCAAAAAAGATAAAGTGATTTACACAGGATCAAAAATCTGAGTAATGGTAGAAACAGAAGTGTAATGGGTAAGAGCAAAGTAACTGTGACTTCAGCTTTCCTGCTGATATCACCAATGTGGCAGCAATCTGAAGGTATCCTGTTCATAGAATTTAACTCAAAAGTTGACAAACGAGGAATTCCGGATTGGAGGGCCATACAGTAAGTGCTTAAGAAAGGCTATTTTATAAATAAGGCCAAGCCAGAGCTGTTCACACACCTCAGAAAGAAAGCTTCAAAATAACCCTTCTATTTAAATTTTAAGTACTAGTTATTTCAATGCCCAAACTTCATACCTATTATCTTCCTCTACTTAACAAGTGTTTCAGCATTCAGGAGTGCTTTGAATCACATTTTTTTCTATTACACATCATGATACGAGGTAAATTACTTTCTTCCTTTGAAACAATTCACCATTTTAAGTCTGATACACAACTGGTCAGAGGGGCATAAAGTGTACTGAAGATCTGCTACCCCTTTTCTTAGGTGGCCAATTTCTGAAGATGCGCTAGTGTCTGGTATTAATTCAACTATTTAAGAAGAAAAGATCTAGTTAGTAGAGGAAACTGTTTGGCGCTTGTTCATAGTTACATTTATGAGAGTCTTCTATTTTTGTGGAGAACAAAGTTCTATTATTTTAAAGCTCTTATATTAAGACAATAAATGAAGCAATTCTATTACCACTTTGACAACTTTTAGATTAAGACAAGATTTTTCTCAGAAATATAAGACAAAGTTACTAAGTATGAAGGTCCAGGACCAACCAGTGCAAAAGTGCAAGACTCTGTATCACAAAATAAGCTAAAGCAAAAAAGGGCTAGGGTGTGGCTCAAGGAGTAGAGCACTTGCCAAGCAAGCACAAGGCCCTGAGTTCAAACCCCAGTAGCACTTTAAAAAAAAAAGAGAGAGAAGGCGAAAATATCAAAATGAAGTGATTTAGTATATTCCAGGTTGAAACATTTTAGGGATTTCTAATTTATCTTTTTGCTTGTAAGAAAAATAACTTTGTTATGTCATGAAGTTTTAGGCTTAAAATATGTAAGGTGCAGACATTTCTTTAATATTTTGACTAAAATGAGGAAAAAAGAAAAAACAGCTGGGACTTAAAATCCCAGGCTCTCCTGAGAAAACTGTCTACAACCGAACCTTGAACTTTTCAGAGCACCTCCTTAGCTTCGGCTCTTATGAGAGTTAAGAATATTTTAAAGTGTTATTTTAAAAATAAATTTATTAGGGTATATTCATGATATGGGGGGATTCATAGTGACAATGCCGGTTAGACTTGTATTATATTGTACATTATTACACTGCCCCATTGTCTCTCCCCCCTTCTTTTTTTTTGACTGAACTGGGGCTTGACCTCATCCTCGCACCTGATAGACAGGCGCTCTACCACTTGAGCCACACCTGTAGCCAGGAGTTTCAATAAATTTTAACTACTCATACTTACATATCTGATGCTAAAAGGAGAATTACTCAAATTTAGCTAGCAAAAATGAAAAAAATTAAAAACAAGCCATGAAAAATACTCCTATCAAGCATTGACTGCATAAATAACTCATGAAAATGTATAAAGAAATCATTAAAACATTTATTTATATAAATGAACAAAGTATACAGATAAACCACACAAAAATAAATTAGAAAAACCTGATTCCCCTTTATACTTACTAAGTTAGCAACAACATATAAAATCTGACACAAATGGTGGCACTGTAAAATGTTCCATCTCTTTGGGAATGCCAGACAACAAGAAAACACAATATTGTTCATGTCGTAATGTACCCACTCCAAGAATTTACTCTGATATAGTGGAAAATCCCTTAATTATTCAGTAATAGGAAAATGCTTTAAATGAATTATGAGTATGAAGTAATGTGATTAAAATAATAATCAAAACTAAATATGAACAGATATCAACTAATCAATAAGAAACATAGGTACCTTAGACTATAATTATGTGAATTAAAAAAGGAAAAGTAAGTAACATAAAAATTAAAGTCAGTTCATTAGGATGTTGAGGATTATGGATAATTTTTCCATTTGGCACAATTTTTATCAATGTTTTCAATATAAAAGAAAAGGTTTGGTTATCATTTTAGAAGTTATTTTTCCTTTCAAATAATCTCTACTCTTCCCTATTTGCAAATTATATGTGTCAGTTTTTAAATTGAAAAGAACAGAAATACCTCAGCTGTGTTCTAAAACCCAAATATTCCTCTATTTTGACTGTAACTGGCAATGAATGAACACATGCTGTAGCCTGTGCCACTCCAAAAGGCAGAGGAAGGTACTGCGGCTTTTAGTTGACATGAATTTACAGGGTACTGGATGTGAACAGGTATAATTATAAACTTTCAATTTATAAATCTCTGTGTGTGGTAGTTTTGATTACCAATACGCTTTGTTTTCTGTCTCATACTAAGACTTCGTATTTTCATTTAAAATCTGTTGCCAGTATGCTTAGAATGCTCTACTGAAACAGCTAACATTTTTTTAAGCTTATTAACCACAAATAAAACTATTTTAGTTTACATATTTTAAATTTTTGAGTTAAACACTATAAACAAGCAACCACCTAAGAAAGGAAATTCACAAAAAATCTAAAAACTCGTACTTAATGAAATTTTTAATGAGTTTTACTTTTGAAGCTGTATTTGAGTAAATGAAGAGGCATTTGAATGTCTATGGACTAGCTGCTTAATATATTACATTCCCATAACAAAAATATGAAGCATTCATTACATGAAATTTACCATTTTGTAATATGACTACATTTTCAAAATTATGGCAAAGAAAGATAAGGAACTTTCCCAGAGCTCTCTGAGTGAAAACATTTGAGAATCCCTGTTTTTAAATATTTAGAGCAGAAGAGATTAGCTGGAAATGCAGGGCAGCCCTCTCCATGTCTATAAATACCACTTGAAAGAACAAACAACCAAAGAAATGATGTCATGGGAATTAATGCCCTATAAAAAGATAAAGAAATGCTAAAGAGTAGATAGAAGAAAATTCTTTAGGTTGAATTTTAAAAATCATGTTATTTAGTAATTTGGTCCAAAGTGGTTTTCTGTGTTGACACAACTACCACATACAAAGCTATAGGAGCTGTCTTCTGCTCTAAAGGTAGAGGTGAAATTAAATAGCAATCTATTTTCATACTGTTAGTGGTAGCAACAAAATTTGGATCATTTACAAATATTTATTATAAAACTGTACTCGTTTCTAAGATCTAAATAAACACATCTATTACTAGATGAATGAACAAAACATTATTAATAATAATAAACTCTTCAAAACAAAGAAAGAATTAAATGGCCATTCCAAACATATTACATAGTTGAAGAATTTCAAAACAATGGAACCACCTATAAGCCTAAATAAAATTAAAATAACATTAATTTATGATCACTTTTGTGAAACTAAAGAAACATGTAACTTATGTTTTTTTTCTCTTCAATTAGAATACTCAACTTTTACAAGGGAAAAAGACTGAAGATCAAATTCATGAAGCTAATTTTCCTGAATCTAATCAAACCCAGAGTTTAACAACATAAAGACATCTTAACAGAACAACCCTTAGTACACAGCAAAAAACTGAACAAGTGCAAGGTCATTTATATTGTACAGTACAGAAATTATCATTTTTCTTCATGTAACAACAAAAGAGTCTCTTGAACGTAGCTGGCATTCATTCTGCATCTGTACACAGGATACAAACATTAACCAGGAGATGACAGTTCCAAGCCAATCTCAAAATGTCTTAATTACATCATCTCCTTTTGTCTCATTTAGAGTTATATATTCACAGCTCAAAACCTGCTCGTTAGATTCCTCAGGTTTTGATTTTTTAAGTGCCAAGTCTGCTGGGAGAAGAGATGAACAATGCTGAAGGGATTGAGCAATATCATCAATCGTCCACTTGTCTTCAGGGAGGGCATGCTCTTCTAGTGTAAATGGCCCCTGTTTGGTTCGGGTCAGCTCTAGTACACTGGCACAGGAAGAGAGTTCTACAGCAATAAAAGGTGATAAATTCAGACAATAAGTGATTCAGTATTTCATAATCTGTAATCTTTCAAATGAAGACCTCGACTCAAACCTCTCAAAATCACTCCAAAACTTAAACTGCAATTAGAACCAAGAGCCTTCCAATAAATGAATGGTTAAATAGCAAAATTATATTTAATAATTCATCTCATAAACTGCTTTAAACCTCCAAAGAACTTGTACAATTTTTTCTTATTGAACTCCAAAGTAACCCATGAGGTCAATATCACCCTTCCTTTGTGGATGAGATAACGTGAGCTGTGCAGTGTCAAAATGGCCAGGGAGTAGCTGAGCCAAAATGGCAACTTTCCCTTCTAGTTTCAAAAAAAAAAAAAGATTTTTATCAGTGAAAATAAGTTTTGAAAGGACAGATCTTGTTTTCTGATCCCTACTTTGAGTTAAAATGTTTGTACTTGAAAAAATGCTGATCTGTACCCATTATTCCTGTCTGCTTTCTGTTCCTCTCTCTTCTCTCCCATTACAAGTCCCACATCGCTGTTGCTGATGCTAGCAATGCATGCTATAAACCTACAATGCTTCTGAAGCTAGAGGTAGCAGCAAGTGTTCCAGTCCTCAGGGCAGTACTCAGAAAGTAGAGAATCAGAAAATGCCTCTTCCCATCAAAAATGAATATTATTCTCTAAATGAAAATTCATCATTCATTGTTCTGCTTACCTTTGCCAATGTCACTAACCAAGCTTCTGATATAAAAACCACCTCCACATTCAACATCTGGAATGTTAACAGTGACATGGTAAATTGCTAAACTCCTAGGAAATCCACTTTACATAGAAATAATGTCCCTCAACAAATGTAAAAATGCACTATGCAAACAATCGAGTGATAAAATATTTATGTGCTAAAACATAAATTATTCATCCAGTAGCATATGTGTTTGTGAGATTGAAAAGTCAAAGTGCGGCAAAAGCAAACAGCGAAATTCATGAACACATTTTAAATTAACTGGCAAGTCCTATCCCTTTAATACTCCGGCCTTGTTCACTTAATACATTTTAAATAGTTAGAAATCTTTTGTCATTATGAGCTATAGATGTTAATGACACAAATTATGTTTAGGATACTGTACTATACACAGAGAGCTCAGCATATTTAAATGCTCTCTTGGAAATGTTCCTTGAAAAGCCATAAAAGAATTTAAAATTACACAATGTGGTAGAATTGGCTGAATGTCTATGCATTTTCCTAGCACAGTCTATATACATTTACTGGTTGAGAGCAGGGCTCTTTATCAACAAAACATCCTGCAAAGAGCCCCTGTCCACACAAAAGGATTGCAGTTTAGCTGCTTCTAGTCTTACCAAACAAAGAAGATTACTCAAAAATCACTACTTGGGATTTTAATTTTTTTTTTCATTAGCTCAGTTAGGGGTCAGTGCTGAGACAAAACAAAACAAAAAAAAAGGCACAAAGATCAAATGTGGGTGTGCTAATATTTTATACTACATTTGACTTTGCTGAGAAGATAGCTCTTTTGGCCTATTGCATACAAATAAAGTATTTCTGACTTAAATGCAGTCAGAAAAATCAGTTTTCCTAGGCAGCATCTACTCTGCTAAACTAGCTGCTGGATTCTTATGGGATGGAGCAAAACATGTTTTAGTGGTTTTTTTTCATTATCTATCAAATAGTTTAAGAATCATGAAGCTTAAGAAAATGACTTTTTTTTTTAATTAAACAAAACCACATTCTGCAGGAACTTAATGCACATCAAATAATAATGTCAATGAGAAAAAGCAACAAAGTTTAAGAAAAAAGGCTTTAGAAAATTATTTCTAAAAGGAATCCTATTAAATATGCACTGTGAAATTAAGGGTAGGATCAATTTCAAGGACACTGAGGACTAACTATAGAGCTTTTGATCTTTCACCACTCTTCTATGTTAACTTTCTACAGTCAGAAAGAACGTAAAATTCCTAAATGACAGAAACAAGCTTTTTGGTTTTTTTAATCTACTTCAAATGTGGATTACATATTTAAACTGATAACCCCAATATGACCATGTGACCAACAATACCTTTCTGCCTTATGCATTTTTCCCATACTTCCAGGATTTTTTAGTAATAACTTGTAGTTAACAAAGAAGATGTGGGAAAAAAAGCAGTTTACTCTTAGAAATTTTTGTCCAAAAACTAAACATCTGTCCTAGGCTTGAAAATTACAAATTAATATCTATGCTAAAACTAAATGTGTCAGGTACTGGCCAAAATGGAAAGAAAAGCATCCATAAGATAAAATCTAAAATCTTGAAAATACATATTCTTTACCTATTCTCTACAGAGATCTAAAGTAACATACCTGCAATCCCAGCTACTTAAGAGGCCAAGACAGAAGACTGCGTTTAAGGCAAGCTGAGGGGAAAAAGTTAATGAGACCCTATCTCAAAAAAAAACAAACAGGCAGTACCTCAAAACAAACAAACAAACAAACTGGGGATGGTGGTACATAGTAGCCTGTAATTCCAGCTACCATGAAGACAGAGGTAAAAAGATCACAGACTAAGGCTGACCCAGGCAAGAGCATGAGAATCTACCTAAAAAATAAACTAAAGTAAAAAGGGCTAACTTAAGGGTGTGGTTCAAATGGTAGAGCACTTGCCTATGCAAGCACAAGGCCTAGAATTCAAACCCAGTACCATCAAAATAAAAAAATAAAGTAACAGTACTTTCAACTTTATAGTGAGATGACATCACAAAACATATGAAAAACTCAGCCTAATTAAGAAAGGAATTTCTGAAACTCTATGTCACTATAGGTATCTCATTAAATGTGTTATCAAATCACAACTTCCCTTAAATTCAAATTTTAGAAAAACCCAACATACTAGGGATCTATTCAGAGTATAACTAATTAGCCAAATATGTAATAAAGGTACAAATAGATACCAATGGTTTCAAATTTCTCCATCTTACCTAACGTGAAAAACGGTGGTTGGAATTTTTGTAGCGAGATACTGTAGACAGTAACTGGCCTGGCAGGTTTGGCTTCTACTACTTCACCTCTCTTCATTAACGTTGAAAGTCTCTGTCCATCTTTCTTTAATGCCGAATAACTTGCAAGATAAGAGAGGGAGAGAGGGAGAGAATGAGAGAGGACGATTTGAGGGGGCTGAGAAAGAATGACAGAATAATTCCAGATAGTGTGGAAAGAAAGGATGACTGGCAGTTCTTTGCACTGAGAACCTTCTAAAAAGTAACTTGCTTCTTCTTCCACAGCCTGGCCAGGGATAAAGCTCCTGGAGATAAGCCCATTCTGACACTCAATGAGCAAAGTTGTCCATGTTATTCTTTACCTTCCTGAAGATGTTCTATTCCTGTCTTGTCTTCTCTAGTCCTCATTGTGTGTTAAGGATGCAAGGAGCTTGTGATCATAAAGGTCTCAGCTAAATTTCCTTGAAACAATTTCTATTATAATAAATTTCTATATAAAAGTTATCAAAGTATTTCTAAAAAACAAGTAACATACTTAATAGATAGTAGCTTTGTGATAAAATTCTATTAGATTACAAATCTTTGTATGGAAAAGATCTATAACTAGTTCTTATAAATTAATATAAATGTTTAATTTAGTTCAACAATGATCCAAAATGTTTATGTAGGGCCTTGCTAAAATTTTTAAACCTTTGCATCTGAGAAATATCATGAAGATATGTTTTTCACAGCTAGTTCAATGTTTTTTGAAAAAAAAAGTCAAGATTTTTAAATATAAAATACAAAATTCTAAAAGAACTGTAACATATCTGATATATCCTATCATTCAGTCATTTAAAACAAAAGAAATGATGTGTGTGAAGCGTAATGTGTACACAAAAGCAGTTAGTGATGCTGTGGTCTGAATGTTTGTGCTCCTCCATATTCATGTGCTGAAATCCTGAGTGCTAGAAAACAGCATTAGGAGGTGGGATCTTTTGGGGGGTGGCTAGGTCACAGACTAGAGCTTTCTCGACAGGGACTGGTGCTCCAGACCAATGGCTTTTTGTTTCCATAGTGTGAGAACACAGTAAAAAGATGCTATCTATGAGAAAGCAGGCCCTCACCAGTGACCAAATCTGCCAGCAACTTATTTTTGACTTCTCAGTCTCCAGCACTAGAGAAATAAGTTTCTGCTTTTCATAAGCTACATAGTTTATGGTATTTTGTTATAGCACTCCAAATGAACTAAGATGAGTAGTAAGGCAATATTTAATTTTCAGTAAGTTTTAATTCTCATCTGTTATTATGTTCCTCTCATTTATTACAGAGGAAGACTTTGGGTCTGGAAAGAGTGGGCCTATCACCTGACAGGCAGCACATATTGGGATTCTGAATCACAGCTCTGCCACCCTTAACACACATAATACCTTCACAGTAATTTTGGAGAAGGTGACATTTCTGGGCTCTAGGACTGCCCTGATATTGACAGACAGAATCAGAAGACCTGATAAAAACTAAATAGCACAGATGCCAGGCTGTGCTAGCATCCAAGGACAGAGGTCACATTCTCCTACCTTAGTCAATGTTAAAAGCTTCACATCTGGCCTAAATCTGGCTCACTTCTTCTTGGTCACTTACCATGTCAGGTTTAAAGCCTTCCTCACCATATGGCAAAAGAAAGCTCATTTTACTTTAATTAAAATGATGTCAACTAGTGGGCAATAAAATTAGACATCCAAATTTAATAATTGAACTTACAGAGGAGGTACTTGCATTATATTCCCAGTAAATTTCTGTAGAATGCCTTCAATATCTTCTTGTGTTATTTTATCTGCCAAAAATGAAGAAAAAAGTAATATTAAGTAATAACAGAACTGCAAGTGCTAATTTTTCAGCACCAATAGCTCTGAAAAGTCATTAAATTTTTTTTCTACAAAGCATATATTACAGTGTATGTCCTTTACACCTAATTCTGCCTTGTTGAGCAGAATGAAATATATATTGAGATGAAAGGGAAAGAAAATCTTATATTGTTCTTCATTAAGACTAATTTTCCTATAGGCTCAGGCCTATAATCCTAGCTACTCAGAAAGCAGAGATCAGGAGGATGGCAGTTTGAAGCCAGCCTGGGCAAATAACTTGTGAGACACTATCTCAAAAAAAGAAAAAAAAAAAAAAAAAGCCCATCACAAAAAAAGTGCTGGTGGAGTAGCTTAAGAAGAGCACCTGCCATCAAGCGTAAGGCTCTGAATTCAAAACCCCAATGTTGCCACCCCCCTCAAAAATAAAAGAGTTAAAAAGAAGATTACATTTCCTGTGCTTCAACTTTTCCCCAATAAAAATGACTGATCATCGTTTATGAATTTAGCTGGTTCAGACAATGGCCTTTAGAAGACCTCCAGAAAACGTCATATTATCTACAGTAAAGGTCCTGGTATTATCAATAATGGGGTGGCAGAAAGTAATCAGAAAAATATACATAAATTCTTTAATTTTTTCTAGCATCAAATATTATAAATAACTTATAGTATTAAAGATGTAAGCATAATTATTAAGTAAGTACACTTCGACAAGTAATTTATTAAAGTATGTCTATTATAGTATTTAAATTTTACCTGATGAAATATCAAAACTATTCTATATTATGGCATAAGTTTTACACATATTCAACTTTCTCTCCCAGTAAAACTATTGATCTGTCCCCCATCCCTTCTCTGCTCTGGGGATTTCTCTCCTCTTTTAATTAAATACTCTCTGTTAGCTTCAAAATGAAGCCAGTGAAGAAAAAGAATACGCATAGCAAAAATGTTAGCGTGCTTACTGAGCATTTTTAGACAATGATTTAGGAAACATGAAGACTTACACATGAAGCCTGCACTATCTGTCAGTCATGATTTCACCCTCTGCTTTGGATTGTTCAAACAAAATGATACAATATTAAAGTATAGTTCTACAATTTTAAAAACCAAAAACCATGACATACAAATTCAGTATTTAGGATTTTCATGCTCTACAGATGAGTCTTTATACATATTTAACACTCAAAAATAAACTAAGTCTTAGGTCATAGTCAATAGAAAGAAGTTAAGAGTACTTTTACTGTTTTGTATAAACGCTAAACTTTTTTCTAGTATATATGTATGTATGTATATTGGTATAAACATATATGCATTCTTGACTTTATTTGAACAATACTAAATAAAACTCGATGTGCTTGGAATTACTGTTCTAAAACCATGATAAAAGCTAAAGGGTATCATGGAATACTCCCCAGATTTCAGTTCCAATCCCACAAGACAGTCAACCTCAGTGTGACCTTGATCCTTACAATCTAAACACAAACAAAAGACTAGAATCTACTAGACTCAAATAGTGAAGGGCTTCAGAATGCTAAAGAATTTCTCCAATATCTAGCAAGGTCAAAATCACAGATCTCAGGTAGCAGTTCTACTCATACTGTTTCACACAGACATGCCTCTTAATATGAATAAGGAATTTTCCCTGAAAGGTGTTTAACCTGCTGTAGCATTAACACATAATTATGGGTGGCACATGAAAGATTTCTAAATCTAGACAGCCAATGCTACCACCAGGCTAGCACTTGCTGGAAAAAAATGCCATTGCTGATATAATTGTAGTAGTTCAGAACTTAGCTACAAATTTAAAAACAAGACCGAAAGCCAGGTGTGGTGGTACACACCTATAATTTTGGCACTCGGGAGACAAAGGCAGGAAGGTTCTGAGTTTGAGTCTAAGCTACATGGCGAGCCCCTATCTATCAAACAAGCAAACAAGACCAAACAGTTTTCTAATTCTGGTAGACTGGTCTCTTTACTGGCATTCCTGCAATTGTGAACGTATACCCTTTGTCCTATTTCAGTGTCTGTCCCCCACTAATATCATCCCACACAGGAATACAAGATGTGCTCCTCATTTTACTTCAGTCACATGGTCTCTTTCTCTGACTTCACATTCCAGGCATTCAAGGTGTGTGCTGCTCAATCTGCAATTAGTCAAACACATTTTTTAAAAGCACTTTAAGGTGTAATCTCACCAATGAAATTCTGAGCTTCTGAAAGACAAAGACAAGTTTTTCTTCTTATATAACATATGCTATTAAGATGGCACTTGAGACATTCTTGCTGAAATTTAACTTGTTAAAGAGTAACAGAAATTCAAGTTGAAGGGCATTTAAAAGTCATGTAGGCCAATAATTTATCTGATGTTTGAATTGCCAGACAGAAAGTTTTTGTAGCGTTATTTTATAATAAAATCTAAGCTTGTGGTACATGAGTTTGTAGGGAAGCATTCTGGCTATATATAAAACATGATTTTAATCTAACCCAAATAATAGTAACTATCTCTACAAGGTAACAATTCTACCTCCAAAGGATTTAAAAATCACAGAATAAAATCTCTATAGCAAGAATATCTAATACCAGCCCCCAAAAGTACATTTGATAAAAGGTAAGCATGATACAAGTATCACAGGACTTGTATAATTATTCTTTGTTTATTAATTAATAAGTCATCAATGTGACAGCATTTTTTGACAATTTTTTTTTAAGTCATGGGCTAGAGATATAGCTCAGCGTTAAGGCACTTGCCTACCAAAGCCCTAGGTTCAATCCCTAGCAAGGCAAAAAATAGGGAAAAAAAAAAAAAGTTATTCTCATAAAATTAGTACATACAAGAACATGCTGTATATCATTACTTGCTTAAAATGTAATGATGCTTCCAGTGAATTTATGGTTGGTACTTAACTGAACTATGGAGTTAAAAAACAATATTTGACTAAAATAAACTGTTATTGGACAAGTCCTGCTGCCACAGCAGCTGTTAAACTGGACAAAAATATACTGAACATCTGCTTTTGACATTAGCAGGTAATGAGGACCATAATCCCTGAAAGAAGGGAAACAAGGCAAATATCATAAAATTGCTATTTTATCTGTGAGGCAGAGAGGGGAATCCCAAATAAAACACTGTGAGCTTACTGAACAAAGATCAGAATTGAGGAATCTGTGACAGTTAGAGACTGAGAAAATTATTCACAGAAAGAGAAATCTACAAGGGTCCCCTGAGATTTAAATTCTAAGCTGTGCATATATAATTAAACAAATAAGCACTACCAATCTACTTACAAAGGTAGGAGATACTTGAATTTCAACCATGCAGAATGAAGAAACTTTGCTCAACACCTGGGACATTCAACAGAGATCCAAAAAAAGACATCCCTTAGGAATAGGTCTAATCTAGACCTGGAAAAAAGCCTATTTTAGACTCATCCTAACAAAAACTCTTTATACAAAAACAACTAGAACTAATAAATGAGGTTAACAAGGTTGAACAACACAAGGTAAAAAAAAAAAAAACACTTCTACAAAAACAAAACAAAACAAACCCCCCAACAAGGATATTTACAGAAAGGGGAAAAATACATAAACACAGATGCAAAAACCATAAATTAAATATTAGCAAGCCAATCCAACAAGAATAATACATTATGACCAAGTGGATCTACTCCAGAAAAGTTAGTTTTACATATGAATAAGGAGAAAAAAATCAATAAACTCAGAAAAAAATTATAAAATTCAGTATATATTCATGATTTAAAAACAAACCAAATCTCAGCAAATTAGAAATAGAAGGTAACTTCCTTGTTTTGTTAAAGCTATATAATAAAAACCTATAGAAAAAAATCTGTAAGAAATAGGTGGGACAATATTTCTTCCAGATCTCAAGACTTAATCTAAAACTATAGCAATTAAGACAGTTTGATGTTAACACAATGATAGTAGACTGACCACTGTATAGACTCCAAACTCACACCTAAATGGTGCTTGATTTGTGACAAAGGAGGCTATGTAGAGTAGACAGGAAGAGTGGACGGTCCACTGGATAGTCATGTGGGAAAAAATGATTGTAGATGCAATGTAAAAGGCAAACAAAAACTCCTAGAATGTTGGAAAATACCTTCAGAATCTGAGGTAAGAAAAATGTTTTTAAACAGAATTCCAAACAGCCTAACCATAAGGAAAAGACTTGATAAGCTAGACCAGCTGAAGCTAAACATTTGTTTTTAAGACACAGAGAGGGAAAAAGGCAAGCCGCAGAGTAACAGAAAATATCTGAGTATATATCCAAAATATATTTATGTGAGTTCTTTACCCATATAAATCAGTAAGGAAGAGACAACTCAACAGAGAAAAGAAAGAAAAGAAGCAGGTCTCATTAGAAATCAAATTAAAACCACAATGAAGTATTACCTATTCACCAGAATGGCCAAAATTAAAAACACTGTCAATACAATGTGTTGTTAAGGTTATAGAGCAAGGGAACTCATGCATTGCTGGTGGAAATACACTCACCTTGGAAAACTGTTTCCCAATTTCTAGCACTGTTAAATACACACCCACCCTATGACTCAACAACTCCATCTGGGTATAAACCAAAGAGAAATGTCTACACAGATATAAAATATACATAGTAGCTTTAGTCATGAAATCCCAAACTGGGAACAATCCACATGACTATCAACAGGAGAGGGATGGAGATGTAATTCAGTGGTAGAGTATTTGCATAGTACACACAAGACACTGGGCTCAATTTCCAGCACCACAAAAAAAAAGAGTGCTGTGTATGTATATGTAAGTGTGCGTGTGTGTGTGTGTGTGTGTGTGTGTGTGTGTGTGTGTCATGATATATTCACACAATGGTATACTACATAGCAATAAAAACATCCAAAATATACTTGGAAGAACCCAGACACAAAAGGATATGCACTATTTAAGAATTACATATTGTTTAAGAAGTATCACCAGGATTTTGGAAATTAAGACTAGTGGTTATCTTTGAATAAGAGGAAGGGGAGGATAAGATTCTAGGAATTTTCTATTTTTTGACTAGGGTGGTAGCTGCTTAGATGTTTGATTTGTTATAATTCACTAAGCTATAAATTTATCTGTTGGAAATTCCCTTTTCATTACTTGTATAATACTTTATAATAAAAAAGTTTAAATACGAACAAATGGCACCATAAGAAAACTGATACCCAGCTACACACAAGTCCTACTACAGTGAGCACCCTATTTGTTTAAGTCACAATTTGAGACTCAAGTCAACTAACTCTTCAGCTTCCTGCACCATGAGCAACACAATCCAAAAGAAGCCACTGCCATTAGATACACTCACTAGGTCAATTTGAAAAGACCATGGTAACGTCCCATCCTCAGATCTGTTTAGATCAGATGATTAATTAGCATGAGACATCACTTTACTTTTATATGTCTTGCCTTCCAATAAGCCATAGGAGGGACAGAAAAATCTAATTCCCACTGCAGAAGCAGTTAATCCTTTCCTGAAACTTGGCCCACATCTAGCCAGGGGCGGGAAAGACAGCAACTCTAGTATCCTAAATTCTGTGGAGAACAGAGAAGCACAATGAAGCTGTGTGTCCTCAGAGACAACAGAAAGTGGGAAGATATTTTGTTTCTCCTAGGACTTATCTGCAGTTAACTATGAGAATGCCTCTGTGGCCTGCCTTTTTTTAATAGATTAAGTGTTTTATTCTTCATATCACCTATTACATATACCACAAACGTGGTGAGGACCAAAAGAGATGGCTTCAGCACTATAACTTAAGGGATTAACTCACAAAGCTATTTGTAAACATGAAAAACACTATTTAGGAATAATTAAGGTTGTTATGATAGAGAATAAAAGAAAGGGTTTTGTTTACAGGGTCTGAACTTTGAGTGGACTCAGTCAATGGCCCATTTTCTTATTCCTCTAAGCTAATTTCAGCTATCTGATACAATAGCTAAACATAGTATCTGTGTAGTTGAGACACAAAGACTTAAGAACATCCATTTGCAATTGATTGCATACTGCCTTAGTTACTTCATCCAAATGTCAGTTGTTCTTGATGATCAATAGAAGTGCATTTTTGGTTGTTACAATGACTGAGGGGAGTGGTGGCACCAGTGGCCTTTTTTGTTGTTTTTCTTTTTTTTTTTTTTTCTTTTCAATCTATGAATCAAACCCAGGACCTTGCAACATGCTTAGGCAAGTGCTCTACCACTGAGTTACAACCCCAGCCCTAGCAGTGGCCTTTAACGTGTGTACGTTAAGATGTCCCATAATATGTAGGACCATGGAACATAATGAAGAACTGTCCTTGGTACTGCCTGACTTCTGTACGTTTGCCAGATACTCATGCATGTATAAAGCCTATTTATTACAATTAATTGAGGTTGGTTGGAATTTAATTTCATTTGACATTTAAACATGAAGCATTTTTGTTCAGTTTTTTATATAATGAATTCTTCTAGCTCTGTGTCATTAACACAATACTATCTATATCCATGTGCATTTGTACTGGTGGTATTCATAGTGACTTATGTGTAAGTACAAATATCTGACCACTTCATGAAGACTTTCAGTGTAGTAACACCTATGTATTTACATGTCAGTATATCATTTTATTACAAATTACTTTTCTTTCATTTCTTCCTTATATCTACAGCATCTTATTGACTTAAAGAACATGTGTAGGTAGATTAGAATCTTTCTGAACTTTATTTCAGGACAGTAATGAAGGCATACAAACTATCTGCCATAGGTCTCAGAGTTCTTATTAGGTCATAAAATCCTTAAGGACACAAGCCAGGTCTTACACTCATTAATCTTCCTCTTGGCACCTGCTATCACAGCTTCAACAGACAGTGAATACTTGTGATTTATTGAAAGTACACAGAAAAATCATGCCAATTGCAAAATTCCAAAGCTCTCAGTTTTTGGAACACTATTCAATAAATTCTCAGAAGTTCTTCTGCTGAGGGCTTGTAGAAAGTTACATAGCTTCTCTATGATTTATTACAACATTAAAATGAGATTATTTTGACAAACTGAGCTTTGTTTAGGATAAATCAATAAAGTTACCCAATGCACAGCAGAGTTTTCTTAGAATTTCAAAATGCTTAAGGCTAGGAAGAAAGGGCATATTTAAATATTTTTGTCAGCCTGGTCCTTTTCTAAATCCCCTAATCAATGAATTACAGTATCATGTAATCAATTTTTACACCTGAAAACCAAGGTCTTGGTTAACAACTTCCTTATTACCTCGATCCAATCAATCAGTAATCAATAAGTCTCACCAATTTTACTTAATAACCATGTTTTTTTTTTTTTCTTTTCTTTTCTGTTTTTTGTGGTACTGGGATTTAAACTCAGGGCCTATACCCACTGCACCAACCCTTTTTGGGTTGGGTTTTTTTTTGAGATAGGGTCTCAAGAACTATTTACTCAGGGCTGGTTTCAAACTGTGATCCTCCTGATCTGTGCTTCCTGAATAGCTAGGATTACAGGTATGAGCCACCAGCGCCCGGCTCTAACCACTGTTCTAATCTGAAAACTTCTCTGTTTCTACCACTACCTCGTTGGTCTACATCACCATCATCTCTGCCAGAATTACTGTTGCCCTATACCTCTTAATCCTAAAAGCCTCTGGTCAAAGGTTCTAGTTGTACTTCAATTAAATAAGGGCCTGCTACTTGCTACTGCTATTAATTCTGAGGCTAAGTCAGCATCTATTTTTAAAAAGATTTGGAAGTAAGTCAGTAGTTTTTATTATGTTGCTTGATTAAGTGAGCAAGACACTAAGCTACACACAAATGTTAACAGGATAAGTGAGGCCATTATGAACAAGAAAAAGGCTGGTCTTGCTACTGGGGTAATTTGCAATATATAATAAGGACCATCAACACAAAACATAGAGAAGCCAAATGCTAGACTGTCTACAGACAAATTAAGAAGAGTTAACATTAAACATGAGGGAAAAAAAAAACAGAATGCCTACAAATAATTCACAATTGCTGACATAAGAATGCAGGTGAACTGACTGACAGAAGTGCCACTGCTGCATTATAAATAGTTTGAGCACTGTGAAGTTGCTAGGAGACCAATTCATTTATCTATCTTTTTTTCAAAATAGCGAAAGAAGAAATGGCAGGAAAATTTAAGGTGGGCTCCAGTGAGTTCTGCCTTACTTCAGAAGTGCTTTCCCTCTGTCATATCGTTTTACTCCAAAAGCTCAGGAACATGATGAGTTTAAAGGAACTAAACCAGGCACCTTTATTTCAATAGCTGAGATGAAATTGTTTTAAAAGGCAAGACAGAAGTAAAATCTAATAAGACAGCACCTCTGCTTTGCTTCTCATTTATTAGGGAAACAACTCTAAATCCTAGCCACAGATAAGTTTGGCAAGGGAGTTAGTTGGAAGAATAATTCTGAACATTACAAAAATTCATTATCAGAAAAAAAGCAACCACAAAGTCTTTATTCATGAATTCAAATCAAATAAACAATGTGATAAATAATTTCCAATCTTCTTAACCTAAAGAGATGTACTGAGAACTAAAATCACTGGAAATATCAAGTAGATTTATGTTTAAATTCCTCATTCATAGAAATTTTCTCTAAATATTAAAGAAGAAAACTGCATTAGATGAACTTCATACCATAGGGTTTCTCTTCTGTTACTTTCCCTGTAGAATCTAGTGTGTCAGTAGCTTTCCCCAGTTCTCCAATGGCAATGTACCTCTAGAGAAAGGGAAACAAGAGGAAAATGGGCCATGAAGTAGTGAAAAACTGTTATGCATGCTTTAAAGTTTACATAGAATTTTACTAATACTACCAACATGACACAAAAGAAAGTAAAAATAACACGCTGAAATTGTTTTGTTGGTTTGTTTCTGTTATGTGAGAAGCATTTGTATAGATTGAGGAACATTTTACAAATTTCCCATATCAGCCAACATGAGAAAGAAAACCCCAATTTTATTGATAATTAGGGCTTATAAACATATTGTTATTGCAAACAAATTTCTAAAACCACTTTTATATTGGGAAGTTTGTTTCTTAAGGAAAAATTTCAAATATAGTTGGCCAGTGAGCTCTGCATCCACAAATTCAATCATAGATCAAAAAAGTTCTCAAAAAGAAATACATCTGTACAGAACATGTACAGATTTCTGGTTATTATCTAAGCAACCCACTATAATAACTATTTATACAATGTACATTTGCATTCTAGTAGGTATTATAAGCAATATAGAGATAATTTATAGTATATGGAAGGATGTATTTAAGTTATATGCATATACTATACCATTTTGAATACTTGTGGATTTTTTTATATGCAGAGGCCCTGGAACTAATCCTCCCTGGATATCAGGGAATGACCATACACCCATGAGTAGAGAGAAGTATACAATAAACAACAAATGGTCATCAAAAGAATCAGTAATTTTACCACACAATTAAAATTACTTTTAAATAAACCAATTAATTACTTCTTACACAAAGCACTAAGACCAATCTTACGAACTAGAACATTTATTTAAACAAAAACTAAATACGCAACAAAACTAGTACCGCAGATGTAGTATCTTTAACTATTACGCGTGTTTTCTCAATACAGAGAAATTGCTATTGAACTTCTTAGCAAGGAAAAGTAACTTTTCCAAAGTGATTATTGTCCACAAATGAAGAATTAGTTCTTAGTTAAGTAAGAGCACCCCTCCTGCTTCTCTATTCTGGATCAACCTTGACTAAGCATCCCGTGGGCAGAAGTACAGCAGGATGAATGGTAAGAGGAGAGGCTCAACTCAAACTAACTGGGTTTGAATTTTGGCTTCAACAAAATTGGTAAAGTGGTTAAGGTAGTCTTAATTACTTCAGCATAAGTTCATCTTAAAATGGGGAAAAATAATAGCAAGTACCTTACAAGAAGAAGCAAAAAGTTTGGAACAATATCTGGTCTTGGTAAGTAATGGATAATAATACTATTATCAATGTTATATTTAAAAAAACACAGAATGATTTATAGTAATAATGGTTAGAGTGATCATCTGGTTACAGTGAGTTCCTGTAAGAAACAGTAGGGCAATGAAATGCTATGATTTCCCCATTAAGAGTCTAGTTGCATAAGAAAAACTCAATGCCATCTTATATATTGTGCCTTGAATGTATCTGTACTATTCTGCTACATAACATATTTGAACTAGGGGGCCTTAACATACTTGCCCCAGAGCCAGTGCCATTGTAGTCTCTGGACTATTGATGTCCTGTAAGTAGGCACGTTACTTCCATAGCTTTGAGCGCTCTCTCTTCTTTAAGGATCAAACCTTATTCATCTTTCAAAACCACCCTGTTAATCTACCCAACTCTCAATCACCCTCCCCCAAACATGGGCCACAGTAGATACTCAATACAAATTCTGTATATAAAAAAAGAAGAAAGGCCTATATCAAATTCACAAATTCTATCATATTTCTTAAGAGCTATGAACGTGCAAAGTATTCTCCTAGCTGTTTTTGAGATACACAGATGCAAACTAGAGATGGAACAGTACCTCTAGGCCTCTAAGAGGTTGCAGAAGTAGGACAGTAAGACAGCAATAAAGATAACTACTGCAGAGGAGAATGACATAATGGCAACAAGGGCTGTTGTTAATGATTTATCTTTCTGAATTCATACCACACAGCTTATACATCGCCATGGTTTTTCAAGGCACATTACAAACTCTACTGGCAAAGCACTGTTGTTCTTCTGTATTTCTCATTGGATAGAAACACGGTATCTGCTTTAAAAAAAAAAAAGTCGATACAATTATATACATGATGAAGAAGTTCCTGTGTACAATTCTTCACATTTTATAATTTTGGAAATCTAGACTGCATCTGCCAAGTCTGAAATCATTCAGTGTTCTGCAGCTATCTTGCATCTGGCTACATGCAGGATTATTTTTAGGGGGGATAATATCTATACAAACAGTTACCATTTTGGTTTCAGAACTCCTATATGCACTTAAAACTGAGAAAGCTTGGCATAATTTTTAATGTTATATCTGTCATTATTTACTGTATTAGAAATTAAAACTGAAAAATGTTTAAAATACTAATACCCATTCACATTGCATTAGCCATCAGAGCAATTCTGTCATACATCTGGTAATCTCTGAAAAACTACTGATTTTTGATTGTGTGGTTGCAAGAAAAAAGACAAAACTATGAAAATGATGTTTACTTCAATGGACCCCTGAAAAGAGCCTCAGAACTCCTTGGACCACAGTATAGCTGTTTTCTAGTTTTATCTTGTCCTGGCTTCTAACGATAGTTAATCTTCAATTCTGTAAATTACTGACCAGCCACCTAGAAAAGCCCACTCACACAGAGCTCCAGCTGAAACAAAACCTCACCACCAAAAAGATACAGAAGTAAGAAAACATGGAAGACACATATATAACCCTACCATTTTATCCTAGGGGTGTACAGTACTCCTTTTCAATGGCCTAAGTTATACAGACACTAGGTTTTAGAGTTGTTTATTGTCCACAATGTATATCCAGGAGTTGGGAATGCTATTACTATATTCATTACAATACAATGCTACTACAACAAACAAATGAAGGCCCTGTATAGTCCATTGAACTGAGTGCCCTTTAGAACTTGTGTTTTTTCTCACTAATACTACTCTCCATCTATTCATCTCCAAGCTTCCTGAGCCCCACAGCAGAGATTAACTGGCATCTCTAAGAGCAAACTAGCCTCTGTACCCTTCAGGGAAAAGGAAAATGTTTATATTACACATTTCAAAGTGCGCATAATCAAATAAGCAACTGCTTTTTCTGAAGTTTGATTTTGAAAGTTTCATTCAAAATTTCACACACAAAGAAAAAGAGGAATATTGTTTAGGATGAGGATGAATATTTTTTACAACCTACCAAACCAAAAATATGTGGCTTTGAATGCCTTCATTAAGAAAGAATAGCTCAGCTGGGCACCAGTAACTCATGACTGTAATCCTAGCTATTCAGGAGGCAGAGATCAGGCAGATCGTGGTTCAGTTAGCTGAGGCAAATAGTTTGCAAGACCCTATCTCAAAAAAACCCATCACAAAAACAGGCTAGCAGAGTGGCTCAAGGTGTAGGCCCTGAGTAGTTTGAAACCCAGTATAGCAAAAGGGAAGGGAAGAGGGAAGACAGAAAAGAGAAGAGGGAAGGAAAAAGGAAAGGAAAGCAAAAGAAAGGGAAGAAAGCAAAGGAAAGGAAAAAAAGAGAAAAGAAAAAAAAAGGAAAGCAAAGAAGAGAAAAGAAAAGAAAAAACAGCTCTTACCAGGTGCTGGTGGGTGATACTTGTAATCCTAGGTACCTGAGAGGCTGAGTTCAGGAGGATGGTGGTTTGAGACCAGCACAGGTAAATAGTTCATGATATTCCATCTCCAAAATAACCAAAGCAAATGGCTGGAGGTACAGCTCCAGTGGTAGCATACCTGCCTAGCAAGGTGAAGCACTGAGTTCAAACCCCAGTCCCACCAAAAAAAAAAAAAAAAAAGAACAGCTCTTTAAAGTTCCTAAGTGTAAACTCTTCAAATTTTTCAATGCAGTACTTAGGATATATTTGAATGAGGGTATAGGAAAGGTATAAATTGTACTAGTCTCTACAGAAGACTAACATGATGAAATCTTAAAAACTTGGCTAAGTTTCATAAGGAGCATTACCTAAGTCTCTTTTCAGCATTCTCGGGACTGGTTAGTGTTCTCAGAGAAAGTTTCTGTCCTTTGACCTCGTCCAAGATGGAAAACTTGTACATCCCAATGGTAACACTTGTTCAGTTGCTGGGGGTGATATAAAGCTGCTTTATGAGGAAATGCTGGCTTTGCCTGCAAGTACCTATGGTTTACCTTCCACCACAGATATGGGGATAGCCTTATATCTAGATGATGCTAATTAGATTCACCTTTTCATAATAGGACATCAACTCTTTTATCTGTGCATCTGGTTTTTAAACTTCTATAAAGAAGCCAATTTTAATCATCAATATAGAAAACTAATAAAGACAGCATTGTAAGTCCTCATCAAAGACCATTACTTCAAAGTACATCTGCTATCCAGCTTTTGCTAAATTAACAGGCTCAAAGAAAAGTACAATTTAAGAAAGATGGCAGAGACTACTGCTTTCCTTTGGTAATCTACACTCTATACTTACATCAGGATAGATCAAGGGAGAACATTAACTCAACCTCTCAGAATCATTTTACCTAAATTATATTTTATATAGATGTACTTCTATATCTATTGTAAACTATTTTCAGAACTCCATCTATCTGTCATTCAGTATCCCTTATTGCATCAAATTTCTTTCTGAATTCAAGCTCTGAGATACTCTCTCACCCTTAAAAAACTGGCATGCTTTCTCTTTCTCATGTGTGTCATGCTTTGTCTATAGCACCAGAAGTCAAAGAAATGACCAACAAATGAAATTAACTATACCTGACATTTCTGACAGAACTTGCCTTGGGTAAAACTAATTTTAGGTGTCTAAGGGACATGTAGTTAAGAGAAATCTAATGGTTCTGGAATTCAACAGAGAAAGGATTTTGTGATAGGTGAAAGTAGTAACAACACTATTGAGCAATTTCTGTACAAGGCACTATAAAGAAAACTTAGCTGCTTTTTACATGTTATACACATAACTTTAAGAGAGCATGCACTGAAAAACTGAAAGACTCAAGAGAAACACAATTATTGCCAGAACAAAGTTTACTATGAGACAGGAGAACAAGACCCCGTGGAACACAGGGCAAGGGCTCTGAATAAAAGAATGCAAGAAAAGAGACGGGTGGTCTGAATAGTCTCTGGTCACAAAGCAAAATAATCCTATGGCCTAAGGATTCCACTTAAAAGGCCAGCAGCCCACCCATTAATTCAGAGCCACTGTGTGAAACAACTCTATGCTGAAAAGAATTCTAAGGATGCTTCTTGATTCTGCAGGAAGATTGTTAGGACATGTGCAATAGCAATGTCTCAAATTAGAACAGGCTTGCAAGGGAAGGGTATATGGTAATACGCTTGTAACATAAATATTGAGTATCTATCATCCTAGAATGAAATATTTCTACTCTTGAAATAATTCCACCCTACACACAAATGCAATTTTTCTAGTAGCATTGTGATACAAATAAAAATTCACCTGTAAAAATAGGAAGTGGAGAAAGAATAAACATTGGTTCAAACATCAGGTCTAGGCCTATTTAGAGGGCCATAGCCATCAATATTTTTTAATGAAAGAAAATTATCAAAAGTATATCACATAGTGTTGAAATTGTTTCTATACATATATGTGTATATAGGTTTATGAGGTAAAATGAATTTCTTGCTGTAATTTTTTTTGGGCAGCACTGGAGTTTGAACTCAGGGCTTCATGCTTGCTAGGCAGTTGCTCTACCAGTTGAGCCACTCCACTAGCCCAAATAAAATGAATTTCTTACAATGGGCCTTGGTGAAAACTTTTTTAAAAGTCCTGTTAAGATGATCTCTAAGATTCCTTCTAGTGATAAAAAAAATTATCAGAATAATATTTGTCCACTGTTTCAAACTGCTTTAACAAAAATGTAATTTTCAACATACTTAAAAGTAAAATTTAAATGATTTAATTCTTTCAACAAGTACTTCTAATATAAAATTAGAAGTGCAAGAAATACAGCTAATAAGACAATAATGTCTATTTTTGAAATGTGAAACACACAAGAACTAGGTTTCTGTAACAAGATGCACCTGGGATATTCTATTTACGTTACAGTCATCTGAGGATCCCTGACTTCACTGTGTGATTCAGTTTTCCTAGCTCAACAGCGAAATGGTTTGTACAAAATAAATGTAAACCAGAGCCATGATGTATTTACATTTTCAATCATCATAATTCTGAAAATATGCCTGGAATTTATAAATAAAGTCCTCAAGTAACACACAGTGTTTTTTGCGTGTTTATGGTTTTGCAGGAGAAGAGTGAATAACAAATATTTCAATGAACTCAACAGATTTTATCTTGGGGAAAAAACACCCAAACTCCTTAATGTAAATACATCATTTTTGTTATTAATATAAAAGTGACTTGCTTTTTGTGGAGATTTTAGAAAATGTCAATGTGAAAAAGAACATAAAATCATCCATATTCCTCTGTACATAACCATTGCTTGTATTTTGGTGTTAAGAAGCAAATAGAAACCTATATCAGAAACAGATTCCAAACTCCGTGTTAGTATTTAAGCATAATGTACAAATTTACTGGGAAACAGTCAAATACTTCCACTCTAACAAAATTTTATATTTTGTGATTTTTCAATACTGGTATTTTGAAAATACCAAACACATTGAAATTTTTCATTTATCTAAGGCACTAAGATTGCTTCCAGTTGAAAGGCATAGGTTTTTATGCTTGTTGATAACGCCAGGGCTTTTTAAGAAAGGCTTACTTAGGTGAGTGGGAGAGTGACTCAAGTGGTGTGTGCCTGCCTAGCAAGCTCAAGGCCCTGATTCAAACCCTAGTACCACCAAAAAAGAAAAAAAAAGCTCCAAAGCAACATCTAATTCCAAGTTCTTTTGGAATGGGAGTGTGCCTCAAGTGGTGTAGCACTTGTCTAGTAAACTCTTTAAGTGTTGACTTTAAGTCAAGTTGCAGGATACAAAATCAGTTTTTCTATATGCCAACAATGAATAAGCTGAGAAAAAAAATCAGGAGAACAATAGCCTCAAAAAATACCTAGGAATAAATTTACATCAGAGACAGAAAGATCCCCCATACTCATGGATGGGCAGAATTAATATTATGAAATGACTATGCCACCTAAAGCAATCTATATGTTCAATTCAATCCCCATCAAAATTCTAATGATGTCGTTCACTGATAGAAAAATTAATCCTAAAGTTCATATGGAAGCACAAAAGACCATAAATAGCAAAGCAATATTGAGCAAAAAGACCAAGGTTGGAGGTATCACAATAGCTGACTTCAAATTATACTACAAAGCCACAGCAATAAAAACAGCATGGTACTGGCACAAAACCAGATATGAAGACCAATGGAACAGAATAGAAGACCCAGACACAATTCACACAGCTACAGTCATCTGAATTTTGACAAAGAAGCCCAAAACATATGTCAGAAAAAAAAGCAGCCTCTTCGGGAGTGGGGGGTGGGGTGGAGGAGAGGTGGCTCAAACAATCTATATACATGTGAGTAAAAAAAATCAGCCTCTTCAACAGATGGCGCTGGGAAAATGATGTTTGCATGTAGAAAACTAAAAGTAGATTCATCTTTCACCCTGTACTAGTATCAATTCAAAGTGGATCAAAGATCTCAATGTAAGACCTCAACCTATGAAACTACTACAGAAAATAGGGAAAACACTGGTACCTATAGGCATAGGCAATAACCTCCTGAATATTCAAAACGCCAATAGCTAAGCAATTAAGTGAAAGGATCAACAAATGGGACTACACCAAACTAAAAAGCTTTTGCACTGCAAAGGAAACAGTCACTAGACTAAAGAAAGCCCATGGAATGGAAGAAAATCTTTGCCAGCTATACATCTGACAAGGGACTAAAGACCAGAAATCACAGGGAGCTCAAAAATCTAAACTCACAAAGAATCAATGACTCAATGAAGAAATGGGCAAATGAACCGAACAGATATTTTCAAAGGAAGAAATACAAATGGCCAATAAATGCATGAAGAAAGGCTCAACATCCCTGTCCATAAAGGAAATACAAATCAAAAATACATTAAAATTTCACCTAACTCCAGTCAGAATGGCTATCATCAAGAATACAAACAACAAATGTTGGTGAGGATGGGGCAGAGGAACTCTTATACACTGTTGGTGGGAATGTAAATTATTATGGAAAACAGTATGGAGGCTTTTCAAAAAACTGAAAACGGAATTACCACAGGATATGGTGATACCACTTTTGGGCATATATCTGAAGGAATGTAAGTTAAGATACAATAAAGATATCTGCACATCCATATTTACTGTAGCACTATTCACAGTAACCAAGCTATAGAAAGAGCCCAGATGCCCTACAGCCAATGAATGGATTAAGAAAATGCAATACACACACAAACACACACACAGCCATAAAGATTATTATTCAGCCATAAAGAAGAATAAAATTCTATCATTTGCAGATAAATGGATGGAACTGGATAAGCCAGGTTCAGAAAGACAAAGATCACATGTTTCCTCTTATATGTGGAAGATAGATCCAAAAGTTAAATGTATACAAAAACACAAACATGATTGAACATTTTTGCAATATGGGGCTGTTTGAGAGACCTGGGGGAGGAGGGAGAGGAAAAGAGAATGACAGAGAATGAATAATATTGAAATACATTGCATTTGTATAGGAAGAATGTAAAATGAAACACACTAAAAGCTGTTGAATAATAGGGGGTGGGAGGAAAGGGTAAGGAAAAGTAATAGAGTAGGTTAATGTGATTAAAATACAATATATTCACAGGTGAAATGTCATGGCAAAACCCCTTAAAACAATTAACATACACTTAAAATAATGAAAGACAGAAATGCAAAATGGGTCCTGTTAAGGAGAGGGTACTAGTAGGAGGGTGAATACAGAGATTAAAAAAGGGTGAATATGGTTAATGTAGTTTATATACTTGTACAAAAATAGAACAAAGTCTGTTGAAATCATTTTAAGTAGGGGGAAGAGGATGAAAGAGAAAGACGGTGTGAATGAACCTAACCAAGGTATAGCATAAGCAAACATAGATATGTCACAATGAAACTCCCTGTACAACTAATGTATGCTAATAACATTTTAAAAAAGAAAATAAGAGTGTTGAGAAACTTATTTGGCAATTGGACATTGCCACAATATTTTAATTATGCTTTACAAACATTATTAATCAGTGCTTTTGGTTCTTATCAAGCCTACTTTCATGGGCTGGGGATGTACCTCAGTGGTATAGCACTTGCTTGGCACATGCAAGGCCCTGGGTTTACAATTCCTAGCAACACACACACACACACACACACACACACGGTGCATTGAGGCTGGTGGAGTGGGTCAAGCAGCAAGAGTGCCTGTCTAGCAATTGTGAGGCCTTGAGTTCAAACTCCAGTGCCCCCACCCCCCAAAAAAAGTGCATTGATAGATGAATATAATTTACTATCATACAAAGCCCCCCTTTTCTTTAATAAACATTTTATAGGATTTAAACACTTCAAAAGGTTTTTTTGGTTAAAATGTGCGTGGTTCACAAAATGGTATTGTTTTTATAAAAAAATGAAAGGTTAAAAAACTTTCAATAGAAAATACCTATAAGTTCTCTTTCATCTAAGAAATATAATTATATTTTTAAAATATTTTTTAAATACTACAGTTTAAATACTACAGTTTTACTTACAAATGTCTAGTTTTGTTTTTAATTTATACTCTGAATATTTGAACCTCAGATGTTCTAATGTTGTAATTAATAGGAATAACCCGTTTCCACGCAATTTATAGTTCATTTTTAAAAATTAAACATGTAGGTAATTAAGAAAGATGTTAAAGAGCAAAGAAAACATTCTAGTATTCTTACCTTGGACCCTGACAACATACTGGTCAACATTTTTGTTCCCCTTCCAATTCCAACCACTATAAATCAAAGAAAGAAATATTATGACATGCTATTCTAAAAAAATGGTCTGTAAAAACATCCCCATATTTGGTCATAATTTCCTGACCTATACAATATTAAGTTGGAAAGAATATATATTTAACATAACTTGAGGGTTACTATTACTCCAGTCCACTGAACTTAACATGCAACCGAGAAATTCCTGAAGAGGGAATAGGAGAGACACCTTTTTTTTCATTCTCAAAGTATTAAACACAAGGGAAACCTCAAGCCAGCTAACTAGATAATGAAGGACAGTCTCTCAAAGGATTCACTGGAATTTTATATGAGCACCAATGAAAAATACATGGTACAATTAACCATGTTCAAATGGAATGATGGAATCGTGACAGAATTCATGATTAAACAAAGCAAAAGCCATCTTCATAGCTAATGAACCATTTAAAGGTGATTATTACCCAGCAGTGTACAATCAAGAAAAGAGTAACACAGTAAATCAATGTACCACAAAGAAAGCTGCAAGCTAAAATGAGGACCCAGAGAGTATTTTAACAGGGACCAATTATAAAAAGTACAATTGCCTACGTTTCTCTTCAATTTCAAACATTATTTATGCTTATAACACTTTTCACAGGTAAGGTTGAGAGAATGTAACCATTTCTTCACATAATAACAGGTAAACTTTATTGAAGTATTTATAATCAATGGTTGCTATCATGCATAAGAATACAATATAGCCACCAAAATCAATATTCAGAAGAAACAAGGAGAAATGACTGGCAAACTGAAAAAAATTACCATAATATTTACAGTAGATGTTAGTTTATCATGTGTCAAGTTGTACTATATATGCTTTTCATTTATTATCTCACTTAATCCTTACAACAACCTTAAAGTTACATTATTATTCCTATTTTATAGATGGGGAAACTGAGGTTCACAGGGACTAAGAACTTTATAATCACAATCTGATACATAGAGTTAAAATTCACCCCAAGCTATGTAGTCTCCTTTTCATCCCCTCACCTTACTCATCAAGGCTTTCTTCCCACTGCCACACCCTAACCCACTGCAAATCTCACTGTTCTGTATCCTGTCCTTTCCTTTTCCAATTCGTAAGTATTTCTGAATCCCCTGTTTTGCACACCAAAACCCTTAATAAGGCTCCAATCTCTACTGTATCAACTCCTTAGTATTCAAAGCCAGCTCAAGTACCAATTCATTCATAAAGTCTATTCCATGACACTTCCTGGTATTGATTTCTAAATAGTTACATTAGTCTAAGAACTAAGATCAAAAACTGTCTGTCTTCGGTATGCTCTAAAGAGCATAGTGGGACTTTTTGATACTGCTGCTGTACAGTAATAGCAAAGACTCTCATTCAAACAAATCCTCTATCAGTATGTTTTGAACAGTTACTATGTACACAGTCCAAAGAAAATGGTTTCTAATGGGACAATAAAGAAGCCTAAATCATATTTCCTGACTATGAAAGAGCTTATAATCTAAGGGGGGGGTGGTGGGAACAAAATATACAAGGGAAATCCCAGTGCTCAAAAACAATTGCCTTAATCAATGAGTGAATAATGCTAAATAACAATATAGTAATACATGATTAAACACCAAAATGAACAGAGAGAACAGCTGCTGTAGGAGACTTGAGGAGTACTCTAAATGGCTGAGACCAGAGAACACCTCATTGAAGCATTTCAATAGGAATGGGTCAGGCCTTGTGAATATATAGGACTTGAACACAGTGGAGAAAAGAAGCACGTTCTAAAGGAACAAACTGCAGAAATTCTCAGATACAAAGGTGATCACAGTGAATTTAACAACCAGAGTAAAGGGTGTCTGAAAAAGCAGGCTGACATGTTTAACCTTATCATGGCTGAAATGCTGAAGTTTAAAGGAAGACATCTTAAGTGTAACTAGCTGAATTCTTTCATTTATAGCTACGAAAAACCAAGCCCATGAAATTTGGGTGATTAATGAATGTAGAGTTTGGGGAAGACTAACATAGCAGTGATATGAGAAAAATTATCTGGAGATGAGACTCAACCAACCAGCAACTTTTTTTTTTTTAATTTCCTTTATTCATGTGTGCATACAATGATTGGGTCATTACACCCCCTTCCCCCTCCCTGTCCCCTCCCTCTCTCCCTCTCCCTCCACCCCCTCGCTTCCAAGCAGATACTGTTTTGCCCTTATCTCTAATTATGTTAAAGAGAGAGTATAAACATTAATAAGAGGACCAGGGGTTTTTGCTAGTTGAGGTAAGGATAGCTATACAGGGAGATTCCTAGCATTGCTTCCATGTACATACATGTTACATTCTAAATTGATTATTGTCAAACTAACCTTTTCTCTAGTTCCTAGTCCTATTGGCCTCTGTTGCTTTAAATTTTCTGCATTAGTTCCTGTGGATTGAAGACATCAAATGCTATCTTTTTTGGGGGGAGGGGGAGGGTTACCTACCTATCCTCATACCTCCCTTGTGTACACTCACCTTATCATGTGATCAAAGTCCAATCCCCTTGTTGTGTTTGCCCTTGATCTAAAGTCTGCATATGAGGGAGAACATATGATTTTTGGTCTTCTGGGCCTGGCTAACCTCGCTCAGGATGATGTTCTCCAGTTTCATCCATTTACTTGCGAATGATAAGGTTTCATTCTTCTTCATGGCTGCGTAAAATTCCATTGTGTATAAATACCACATTTTCTTAATCCATTTGTCAGTAGTGGGGCATCTTGGCTGTTTCCATAACTTGGCTATTGTGACTAGAGCTGCAATAAACATGGGTGTACATGTACCTCTGGAGTAACCTGTGTCACATTCTTTTGGGTATATCCCCAAGAGTGGTATTGCTGGATCAAATGGCAGGTCTATGTTTAGATTTTAAGAAGCCTCTAAATTTTTTTCCAGAGTGGTTGTACTAGTTTGCATTCCCACCAGCAGTGCATAAGGGTTTCTTTTTCTCCACATCCTCACCAACACCTGTTGTTGGTGGTGTTTCTAATGATGGCTATTCTAACAGGGGTGAGCCAGCAACTTTTCTAAGGATTGAAGATTGAAGGAGTAACTTCTTAGACAGAGTTTTACTTATCATTCCCTACCATTCACTCCACCCCCACAATTTGGTCATTCAAAATCCTATTCAGCTCTTACTGTACAGATACAGAAACAAGTAAGACCAGGTTTTAGCCATCATAAGTTAGAACCTAATATGAAGACAAATATTTACAAAAACTAAGAGAATGGAATGAATTGTTTTATATTAGCACTATAAAAAAGTGGGCAGCCTTCACATGCAGGCCATAGCATCTTAGTTGAACCCAGAAAGGTCAACATAGGTAATAAAAAAAACGAGCAGTTTATATGAAAAGAAAGTGACACATGGCTTGGAGAAGTGTGTAGAGTTTAGAGGATGGAAGAATAAGAGGGTTTTCCTTGTACTCTCACAACTGTTACTCTTTCTTTATCTTCCACATTTTCTGTGCTCAACCTTTTCTCTGTAAAAAGCCAACTATCTGAAAGTCTCTCCAATGTCCTGGCATTGTATTCTCAAATCCATAAAGTCAGAACCCATTTATGGTGACAGCCACTTTAGGACAGGCAAGGGTACTATCCATGCATTTCCAAAGCTTTCTACAGTTGGAAGTTTCCAGTGCCATTTAATTTTATAACATCCTCTTGACCATCTTAGTGGACTTGTATCTTCCAATTCTAGGAAGCTACCTTAATAATCCTTAACAAAGAAAAGGTCCTATTCTTAAAGATGTTCCTCACAAAATCAGTTCTACTAATGAAAGTTTGGTAATAACCTTAATGACCTCAAATATGAAACTAATTGAATTAATTGTGTATTTCCTCTTATGTAGTCATTAAAAATAATGTTAGGGGAGGGGGATAAGGGAGAATGGGGAGGAGGTGAATTCAAGTATGATATATTTGATATATTATAAGAACTTTTGTAAATGCCACAATGTACCCCACCCAGCACAACTATAAAAAAAAATGTTCACAAAGACTTTTTTAGTTAACATGAAAAATATTTATTATAATGTTAAGTTAAAAAATATACAGGATATAAAAATACATACAGTAAAGTAGAGCTCAACTTTTTAAATTTTTCACAGGTAAAAAAACCTAAGAGGGAAATAGAACAAAAATGTTAATGGTGATTATTGGTGGAGGAGGTAATAATGGATGATTTTTCATTTTCAACTTTGTTTTGTGTGTTTCCAAAATTTCTCTACTATGCTTTTATAACTTCTAAAGCTAAGAAAAAATAAAATAAACCAGTACTTTTAAAGGTGGCATGTAAAAATTTATTTCTCATCTTTAATGATTTATGATAAGTGGGTATGTTAGTCTCCTATTGTTACTGTAACAAACTATCAACTTAGAGTCTTAAAACAACAAGAACTTCCTCCTCTCACAGTGTCCTATGCCAGAACAAACTGTGGCTCTAAACCATTGCCTAGCCTCTGCCTGTAGGCTTCTTGCACTGAAGTGGGTTGCACAGTAGAAAAAAGGAAAAAGGAAAAAAAAAGAACTTCTTGTCTTACAGTTAGTTCCCTTAGGTCTGAAGTCTGAAATTGGTTTTCTGGGCCATGACAATTATGTGTCAATTAACAGAAAAAAAAAAAAAATCAAGGGACTGACATGGCTATGTCCCTTCTTGAATGTTCTAGGGGAGAATCTAGCATCTCCTCAAGGGAATTTTCTAGTCTTTTCCAGCTTCTGAAGGCTGCTCACATTCTTTGGATTATGATCCCCTCCCTCTTGTAAGACAGCAATCACATCACTGCAGCCCCTGCTTCAGTGGCCACATCTCTTCCACTTATAGACTCAGTGATTCCACTGGGCCCACCTGGAAATTCCAGGAAAATCTCTTTAAGTAGCTGATTAGCAACCTTAATTCCATCTGCAGCCTTAGTTCCTTCTTGTGATGTAACCTAACATAGTAACAGATCTGTGAGAAGAAAATGTGGACATCTTTAGGGGACCATTATTTTGCCTACCACAGCATTTTTAGAACATTTTGCAAGACCTCTTGTAATTTTGTTTATAAAATTATAAACCTGAATTCAGATAATACTCTTTTTTTGTTGTTGTTAGTACTGGAGTTTGAACTCAGGGCCTTGACTTGCTAGACAAGAGTACTACCAGTATGCCCCCAGTACTTTTTGCTTCAGTTATTTTTCAAATAGAGTCTTATGTTTAGGCCTGGGGCATCCTGGACCTCAATCCTCTTATTATGCATCCCATGTGGCTGGGATGACAGTCTCAAGCCACCACACCCAGTTTTTATTAGCTGAGAAGGGTTCTCATGGATATTTGCCAGGGCTGGCCTCAAACCCTGATCTCCCAATCTCTGCCGCTGAGTAGCTAGGATTATAGGCTTAAGTCATGGCACCAGCTGTCAGCTAAATTCTTAAATCTGTGTTACAAAGAAAATGTAGGAAGTACTTTTCCACAGTGTAGTTATTTCGTTTTTTAAAAAAATTATAAAAAGACATTTTAGTAAACATTTGAGCAGTATAGCAGATATGACCCCTTTTGAAAAGATAGAGAAAGAGATTCAGAGAAGTTATGGGATTTCCCCAGGATGTATACAGTTAGTAAAGAAGGCAGCCAGAATCAAATCCAGGTATGATCAGAGTCTAGGGTTTACTTCATGACACAACAAAAATTAAAACCAACTTCTTTTAAATTTCCAAAATATTCCTTATTCTATGAGCAAATAGTTTCATTTTTTTAAAATTTCTCTATTGACATCACAAACATTAGAACAAAAATTAAGATTTCATATATTAACATATCATAAATGTCCCTCTGAAAAATTAAGCTTCCAAACGTAAATTTTTTCCAAATATAATTTTCACACATACAAATCTCAGCCCTTCCATGGTACCAAAATGGAAGCCTCAACAAGATTCCTTAGGCTCAGAGTAAAAATTATACTACTTCATTTACTGCCTTGAGTATCACTATTTCCTGCAAACAATGAGGAACACCACAGAAATTAATGTATTTGGTCTATTAATTGTAGCTTATCAGTTACAACAAGGATTAAAGTATGTAACTCATGAATGCCCTAGACCAACACCTCATATGTAGTAAGTGCTCAATGGCATGTTTGTTGTCAGTAGTTATTATAAGAAACAGTAATTTTAAGTTGTCAGAATTTGCCTATTCAAGTTATCTAATACAGGTAAAAATGGATTTCCTTGTGACTTTTTCTAACCTCACATAATTTTTGCTAACATGAATTAAATAAAAATCTGTAACTCAAAAAAAGGCAAAATAATACATTATTTCTAATTTTCTTGAAAATGACTATTTTCTTCACCAACTGTATCTTTTTCTTTTGAGTAATCAATTATTTTCTTTGGGTTTGTTGTTGTTTGTATCTAATTTTAGTCGTGATAAACTGGGCTGGAGACTGTACCATAGTATTTTACAAATCATGAGTCACAATCCATTAGTGCATCATGAAGTCAATTTAATGAGGTATGATCAACATTTTAAAAAATGAAATTGAATAAAATATAACATAGCAGAGCATGAAAAAGATCAGTATTCTATCAAAGTTTGTTTCTAGTATATGTGGGTAAAGGAGATATGGGGGATCCTAATGTATGTATTTCTGTGACTATAGATGCAGTTACAGAAAAAGTTTTAAAATACATCCTAGCCTGTGAATACACACCTTAGCAGTCCATAAAGATAAAATTTCCGAACCTCTACCAGATTAAAAACAAAGATAGGATAAAAACAAATTTAATTTTCCTCTGCTCAATCAATTCTATCAGGTTTTCTGCCACAAGCAATTAAATGATAACTAATAGGTCTCCAGGAAATGACTTCCCCTTCAGTTCACCTTCTCAGGAGAGCCTAGCCAGGTGTGATGGCACATGCCAATAATCCCCTCACTCAGGAGGGTGAAGCAAGGATTCCAAGTTGATGGCCAGCAAGGGCTACATAGCAAGACCTTGTCATGAAAAAACAAATATTAAGCAAACAAACAAGCAAATAAGGAGAGCTGCTCTCAGAGATTAGAATAGATATAAGCAGAAAAAAGATCTGTAACCTTGCTAGTTCCACTTTCTAAGATTCAGACAGAGATAACATTTGTAATTGCTATCATAAGAAAGGCTTCGGTATTCTCTCTCTCTCTCTCTTTCTCTTTCTCTCCCCTACAAGGTGGAACACTTGAGTTTGCTCCCTTCTCCAGCAACAAAGCAACAAAGCAGTAACTGTGTGCAATGTTTCTTTCAGGGAAGCTCATCAGAAACTCAAGTGTCCAAAATTTTTATTGGGGGGTTGGGGAAATAGTCACCCAGACCCTCTGCCTGTGTGATGGAACAGAACCCGTCTCCTAGAAGGAAAGCAGGTATTCACACAGTCAAGATACTCAAATCACCCCATCAGAGGGAAGGGTAGGAATAAGCCTAAAATCTACATTTGCAGATGCCAGCCAAAGATGAGCCTTGCAACCAAGCCTTTCTAAAGACAGTAATTTCAAGCCTGCTGTGTTAACTGTTTTCTACACAAACACAAACCTTTTCTCCAAGTCCCACCCACAAGTAAAAGTGGCTACTACTTCTAATACTATTTATACTTTGCACCCATTTAATGACTTCTTTAGAATGTAACACTGTAAATCCAGTAGAACTGAAACTTCCAAATCCAGTAGGCTGAAAACTGCATGGTTTTAGTCAATTTAATCTGTATTTAACCAATCTTACTTTCTGATATTAAGGGACTTCTGTCAAACTTCGTTCACATCTCTTACCCAAAACACCTCGGGCTGCGCTGTCTAGAGTCCCTCCATGCCCAATTTTCAAAGTCTGCTTTTTCCTCTTGGTCCATTCTGGAGAAGGCATCCCAGCTTCTAGGAGAGTAATAGATGTGGAAAAAGGTAATTACCAAGACAAGTAAAGTAGAATCTCCACATATATGGGGAGAAAATAGGATGACTTACTCAAAACAAAAATATTGTACAAACAACATACTAAGACTATGACCATATGAGTAGCAAAAAAGCATAATTTAAAATATACAGACACTCCCTAAATTGTCAAAAAATAGTATTCTAAAATTAGTTGTCTAGGAACTAGAATTCATTTTCTAAGGGGGAGAAAAACCTTTTTTAAAAAAGGTAAATAAATATCTAAGCTAACCCACAAAAGTCTAGTAAATTCCTGGTAACAGTGGGCTGTTAAAGAGAATGATGAAAAGTAATTTTATATTGATAGCTAGCTTTAAAAGCCTTTAATTTCCATTTTAAATCTCTTCTGTTTTCTGGTGTTCTTCAAGGGCATCTCCAGCTGCCTAACAGTGGGCATACATCGCATGCAAGACTACTTCTAAGTACGCTAAGTTTTCAAACTACCTTTGTTTAAGTTGTCCTTCTCCTAATTGAAACTTTTGAGTCATTAAAGAGGCTAATCTCAAAAAAGGTTATATGAGAAGTAGGCATCTCTCTGAAGCATTTATATTTTTTTTGAAAAAGAGTATGTTGCCAGGCACTGATGGCTCATATCTGTAATCCTAGCTACTCAGGAGACAGAGACCAGGAGGATCAAGGTTTAAAGCCAGCCTGGGCAAACAGTTCTCAAAACCCTACCTCAAAAAAACCCATCACAAAAAAAGGGGGGTGGTGCTAGAAGAGTGGTTCAAGGTATAGGCCCTGAGTTCAAACCCCAATACTACAAAAAAAAAAAAGTGTGCTAATCTGGCTTATCTCATATTCTTGTCATAGAGACGGCTCTAATGATCAACATACACTTCCCAAAACCCATCAAACCCTCCTTATCACTACTGACACCAAGCAGACAGAAACTATAGGAAAGGGAAATGAAAAGAGAGGACAGAGAAAAGTTAAGGGGAAAGCAAAGCAATAGTGGAAGTGGAGAAGCCAGATTAAATGGCCAAGGGGATGTACTTGGTCGCTGGGCCTCACAAGCATAATTACCACTCCAATGAGTAGAACAACAGTATCAGGAATACAGCAGTGGTGTCACTCTCTGATTATAACAACATTATACCTGGAAGAGCAAGGCTGTCTGCACTGACATAAACCACTAAGGTTAGGCCTAGACTTGAAACCCTTCACCTTTCACTTAGAACCCATAGTGGATCTCTTGTCCATGAATTTATTGAACTCTTTTGGGTTACTCTTTGTATTTTCCTTGGCATGTAAAGGCCCCATAAATTTACTGTCTTGTTTGTGCCCAAATTTACCTCTAACTTGCAGGCACACCACCTCTGCTGTTAGAATTTGGTTCACTCTAGTAAACCAAATATTCATGGATGAATATTTATTAAGGTCTTTTCTAGCTATGCAATTCTGTTATGTTTCAGGACTTGAAGTATTCAGAGAGTAGAGATTATAGAATGACAGGGATCAGTGTAAGGACAGGCAAGCAATTTTATCAGAGGCCATGAAATTGATGTGGCTTAAATTACACTGCTTCTCAAACTTAGCCAGCATTAGAATGTGGGTATTTTTTAGAATCCTTCCAGGTAAATTCTGATAGCCAGTTAGAATGGCATTTGGGAAACCCCAGTATAGCTAATATAAAAAGAAAATAGGCCAATCATAAGCCTTATAGAAATGGAGGGTAATGAGAATGTCAACATCTGAATAAGTGGTTTCCAGAAAATGGCCAAGCAATAATCTTGACCAAGTTTTGACATGAAACTTTGGTTCTTGGAGGCAGATAACGCAGAAGGCCAAGGTAGGCTTTGATCTTGTCAGAAACTTGACTGAGAAAAAAAAAATGGTAATCTCTACCTTGAAGATCAAAAAAGCCCTAGTACAGCTAACAAATTAGGCCAAATCAAAGCGGTTCTATGAGGGGAAAAAAAAAAACCTATTCAGTGACACCAGAATGTTCCTTGCTCCAACATTCCCTATAGGACCCATCCTAACAGGCAACAAATTATATGGAAAGCTTGATTAAAAAAAAAAAAAGAGCCAGGCACTGGTGGCTCATGCCTGTAATCCTAGCTACTCAGGAGGCAGAGATCAGGAGGATTGCAGTTCAAAGTCAGCCTAGGCAAATAGTTCGTGAGACCCTATCTCAAAAAAAAACCCATCACAAAAAAGGGCTGGTGGAGTGGCTCAAAGTGTAGGCCCTGAGTTCAAACTCCAGTACTACCAAAAAAAATAAGCAGGTATACACACTAATATTAAAAATCTGGTGGAAGAGTGTGCCTATTTGCCAATAAATGTTTAAATCTTTATTGTGCCAGTTTTAATTAACAAATTTCTATCAGAATCATTTAGTTTCGCATTTTAAAAAAACTATTGAGTCTCTACTACCATTTCCTGCATGATGAGCAAATGTTCTCATCAAACCTCAGTACTGACAAAAAATTTCTTCCCCCACCATTTCTCCCCATTTTTATGTTGTTATGCTAAATTTCCTTCCTAATAAACTTTGCTCTCATTTTCAATATAAAAAATATATATACATAGTAGGCCATATTATACTAAACTTAAGAAGTTTCTGCACTTGTTTAATGACAAGACGGCTTAGGAGCTGGTGCTGGTGACTCACGCCTACAATCCTAGCTACTCAGGAGACAGAGATCAGGAGGATCAGGGTTTGAAGCCAGTAGGGGCAAATAATTGTGAGACCCTATCTCGAAAATCCCCAACACACAAAAAAAGGGCTGGTGGAGTGGCTCAAGGTGTAAGTCTTGAATTCAAACCCCAGAACCACACACACACAAAAGGCGGGCTAGGAACAAACTCTGGGGAGCCTTGTATAATCTATGTGCTTTTCCCACTAAAGGCTACAGAAATTACTAGGTCGTGGCCCTGGTTCAGGGAAGAGACAGCATCTGTCACTTTCATGTCCCATAGGACAGCACAGATTCTAGTTTAGTTGGGTGTCCAACAAAACTAAGGTTCTTTGATACTATCTGAAGTGATCTACTGATTGAAGAACTGTGATCTTTCAGGCTTTTTCTATTATCTTCCCAGTGTGTATGAACAAACAAAGGAAAAGAATGCTTTTAGAAAAACGGACAAGTTCTATTTAATGTCCTCATTAAACAGAGGATCATTTCCTTAATTAATATGGTCCATAGTTAACTAGAATCATATGGAGCAACTGTTTAAAATGCAATTCTCTAAAAATAATCTGAGTGTCAGAATCACAATCTCTGTCAGGCCAGGTAACAGAGATTTGCATTTGTCTCATGCCACTAAAATGTGAAAAGGGCTGTACTAAGTTTTGGTTAACTTAGTATATCTGCTTTTTCAACATATTTTTTTAAATGCAACTTTAGGGGTACAGAGCAAGATCTTCCTTTGGGTGGGGTTTATCCACAGGACCAAACAAAAACTTCCTGAGGAATCAGATTACAGAAAATCGGTGTGCAAGCTCAAGGGCAGAGATTTATTGTGTAGCAGGGCTGGTCTTCTCCCTCCTTGAGAATGACAAATGGCCATTCTATGTCACAGGAGGTCACACTAGGACAGTCCCATCCCGAGATGTCCCAGACTTCCGTCCAGGCCTAAGTCAGTGGTCGTTCTCCCTTTCCCTTCCCTTTCTCGAGCCATGAACAGGTGTCGCAAAAAAGCCCAGCGCGCTTCTCGCGGCGACCGCCTCGGCCTGGTCCCCACCCGGGCTGCAGTACCTGCCAGCAGCTTTTCCTTCAACCGATTCAGCAGCTCGGCTGAAGTGGGCCCTTTGGGCTTGTGCACCGCGAACACGCCGCTAAGGGACAGCAGCTTAGTAGCCATAGCGGCCTTGGAGACCTTGGGTTCGGCTCCGGTCCTGGCCGCCGCCGCAACCACCGCGGCTGCAGCCGTTGCTGCAGTTGTTCCTGCAATTTCAGAAACTGGGGCTGTGTCTATTATCAAAGACGACGACACCACCGCCGCCTCAGCAGCTGCCATGCTTTCACAGAGTGCACCAGTTTGTTACCGAAGGCGCATGCTGATGACGAAACAAGAGTGCGTCTGACATCCCCTTCCCCTAGCTGTGCAGCGCGTAAATGTTTGCAAGGGCCTGTGGGAGTTGTAGTCTAGCCTTCTAGCCCAGGCCAAAGGCTTGTTAGGGCATCTCAGGGCTCAGATAGTGTGTTTTCTCCTCCAATTTCCTCTGCTACTTTATTTTTTATATTCTTTCTTTTTATCAGCATATAAAAGTTGTACAGGGATGTGAGGGGCGGGAGCCGGTGTCTCACGCCTGTAATCCTACCTACCCAGGAGACAGAGATCAGGAGGATCGTGGTGCCAAGCCAACCCGGGGAAATAGTTTGCGAGACCCTATCACACAAAAATCCCATCTCTCTCTCTCTCTCTCTCTCACACACACACACACACACAAAGACTGGTGGAATGACTCAAGGTGTAGGTCCCTGAGCTCAAACCCCAGTAATATACACACACACAAAAATACAGTTATTTCCTTATGTGCTTACAATATATCTTAGATTCACCTCCTCCCCCCCTTAGAACAATTTCACCAAGTTTCATTATTCTATTTTCATATATGAATATAAAATGCATTTACCATACTCACCCTCAATCACCCTCTTTTATGCCCTCCTGCCCCCACTGGTACCCACCCCAGAAGAGATCTGCTTTCCATTCCTGTCCCTCATTTTTTTAAAGTGTATATTGATAGTCCAAAGGAATTTCAAATGTGTACACATCGTGTCTCTCTGTTACTTAAGTGGGGTTTGTTTTGTGCTGCAGGAGTGTATTGGAGTTGCAGTTCTAAGTTGGCAAATCTAAACACCAACTGCATATTTTAGATGGGGGATCTCTTCATTTGGGTCCTCCAGAACTAAAGGACAAAAAGGACTTAACATCTGAGAAAAGAAAATCTTAAGTACTGACTTTTGCTGCGACTCACTGTTTCAACCAATTTATCACGCTCTTGGATTCAGGTTTAGAATTAAAATATACCTGAATGTAAGCTCAGTTACATCAAGGAAACTATGTACTTCATTGCTGTATCCCAATTTCCTAACATGTAGTAAGCACTTAAATGTTTTTTCAATGAATATGAATTCTTCAAAGCCCCAAAGAAACTTTTAGGCCAAACCAATGGCAGATCACTCAGGATTATTTTGAAATCTCTCAAGCACCATTGTCCCTCCCCATACTCCTAACAGCCCCCATGCAATTGTTAAAATTCTAAGATGTTTAATACCAGCTCTTTTGTGGGTTGCATGCCTTAGTACACGTTGCTTGAATGTCAAAAAATACTATTGAAATTCATAAAATTAAACTAATTTCTATTTGAGACCTCTCTAAAAGTTATTCAAATGACAACAAAATTCAAACACATCATTTCACTCGTAGCACAAGGCAGAACGGAGAAAAACTCTCCATTATACTTCTCCAAGTATCTTAAATGGCATTGGGAGTATTATTGTTGCAGTGGTCTGGTGTCAGGTGGGCTAGAGTAGTTGCCAGGAACGTTGTCTCCTGTGATCAAAGAATGAAAGTCCCAGAAAAGAGGGTAAGCAAAAGAGCAGGTCCTTATTTAAGCAGAGAGGAGAAGTAGTAGAAAAGCTCCCATATACATGGAGGGGTCTCCCAAAGGCTGAGCTCTCGAGGCTTTTTGTCTAGTGGTTTTTAAAAAGATTTTATTTCCTGGTTGAAGGGAAGCTGGTTTTGTCTCGGTACTCTTGGTCCATTCAGGGGATGTACATCTGTGCCAACCCATGGACATCACAGGGGCACTGTGCATGCCCCTCTTTCCCTTCCCAATGGCTCTGAGTCCCTATCAGGACATGGCTGGCTCACTTGCCATTCATAGCCTCACTAGTTTCAAGGCCTGGGCTAGTGGTTTCAAAACTCCCCACACCCAGGCTTGCAACAATTTCACGGTCTCTTACATTCTGTTGGTCAAGATCGCCCAACCTCTCTGCAGAGGGCCTCCACCCTAATCTTCCTGACCAGTCTCTTGCGCCAAGCTTTCATTCTCATTATGGGACAGATAAATTTGCCTTTGTTGTTTTCCCACATTTCCTTACAGCCACTTTCTCCTCACACTCTTGGATATTAACACTAGTTAGGGAATCCCATTTGAATTTGCCCCTATTTGTGCAGCAAATACATGTCATCACAATTATTTTGAATACAGAATTTCACCCTTCCCCATTTCAACCAGAATACTAGACTCTAATTAAATCTTTATCTGGAGTATGTGACAGTGTGAATGAAATTAATGTCACAGAACCCACAGAACCATACAGTTAAATACTGAAAATGGGAAATTTCATGTCACACACACACACACACACACACACACACACACACACACCACAGTTCTTAGAAAGGCAAAAAACAATTGGGGAAATTTTATGCACGGTAGGAATTCTGCTACTATTATAACCTATTATAAAATCTAGGCTAACTGAAAAGATTAACATGTCACAAGATTAGTGAATACCCAAGGGACACCTGTATCCTGGAAAGCAAGATTTCTTTAGCAAAGTTTTCTGTGTTCAGAGTCAGGAACTTCCATGTGCGGTTGCAGGCGTGAACAGTGATGACTTGAAGATTAAAAGACCTTTCCCAATTACCGGGACATCAGTACTCTTATTCTCTTGTGAGCCTGGGGTAGGGATGTGGAGGGAGGGAAGAACTGGAGTTGGCAAATAATGCTGATATTTGACTTTTCCATCAGCCCAGTGCAGAATCAGAGCTAATTTGACTTAAAAAAGAAAAGAAACAGATTTTTAAAAACAATTTGGATTTTGGGAATTCATAGATTGTCTAATTTAATGCAGATGTGAGTTAGGAGTCTTTAGTTAGAAGCAACAGAAACGGATTCATAGCAGCTTGCGAGAGGGGAGAGAGGATTTATCAGAAGTATACTGGTATAGTATTCAGAACCTGGGAAATTCTCTCTCTCTCTCTCTCTCTCTCTCGTATGTTTGAGCCATATCCTTCTTTTTCTACACTATTTTGTCTTCTTCATTCTTCTCTCTTGCTTCTAGTTTTCTCTAATTGTCATTCCACATTGTTGGCTTAACCCATCCTATTTTGATCCAGTTCCAGCAATCTTGGTGAAGCCCTCCTGGCCACCTGGAGAACACAGGATCTCACTCATTTTATCCCTCTACACACCACTTTCCCACTGCACTTTCCTGCTTTTATTTTTCTCTGTAGCACATTTCATCTGACATACTACATGTTTTACTAATTTTGGTTAATAACTGATTACTTATATCAGAATATAAGGCCCAAAAGGACAAGAAAATTTTATTCATTGCACTATCTCCAGGGCCTGGACTAGTGTCAGATATAGCACTCAGTAAATATTTGTTGAATGAATGAATGAAGAAACATGTCAGCTCCCATAGAAACCTCCACAAAGGAGGGCTAATGGCAGTTTCCAGAAACTTGGAGTATTGAACACATAAAATAATAGATGTACAGTATAAACTTAGCTTGTCATACTTGCCTTCAAATGCCTTTATTTCATTTTACATGGGAATAAAATTACCTAATACCATACAATAAGACTCCAACTCTCTGGAGTTGGACACACACTATTTGTGTCTCTCTGGAGTGGACACACACTACTTGTGTGTCACCAGGATTGCAGGTACTAAGACTTAAAAATTAACAAGACCCAAATCTGTCTCTGGATCCTTGTTGGATGCATTTCCAGAGCACTTTTCTAATGCATGCCAAGGTCATGTGTGCTAGGAAATCTATTCTTCACAAAGTCTTCTCCAAAACTTCACCTGTGCAACTTCAGTACCAAAAAAAAAAAAGAGGCATTGTTAACCACAATGATGCAGTCTCTTGATCAGAAGGCTTCCAAATTCTTTGTGTCCATGTGGAAGGATCCATGGCAGGACATGTGGGTGTAATGGAGTTTATTAAGAGTTAAGGAGGAGAATTACAAAAGGGGGAGTGGTAAGGACCAGGTGGAAGCTGGAAGCAGAGAGAGTCTTTCTCTTTTCCAGGTGTTTTTAAAACTTACACTAACCTATGGGAAGAGAAGAACCAAGCAATTCCCAACCAATAATTGATGAGTGGGAGGACATGGGCGGTCCCCAGGCCAGGTGAGGGTGGTTTGAGTTGTCCTTGAGCCAGGATGTGAATAACCAGCACATATTTGTAATTGAAAAGAAGGTTCTGGGAAAGAGAGGAATATTCACCCTGAAATACAACATTAACTTGTATATGTTCTAAGAGTGCTGGAATTGGACTGGTGGAGTGGCTCAAGCAGTAAGAACTCCTGCCTAGTAAGCATGAGGTCCTGAGTTCAAACCCCAGTATCACCAAAAAAAAAAAAAGAATTTTTATGTTGCCAGGCACCATTGGCTCACACCTGTAATCCTAGCTGGCAGGAGGCAGAGATCAAGAAGATTGTGGTTTGAAGCCAACCAGTGCAAATAGTTTGAGAGACCCTACCTTGAAAAAACCCATTACAAAAAAGGGATGGTAGAGCAGCTCAAGGTGTAGGCCCTGAGTTAAAACCCCAGTGCCAAAAAAAGAGTCCCAGAACTTTCCCTAATTTTTGCCTGCCTCGGCTTGTTGTGGATTCTCAAGACCAAGATGAGCTGGATTCACTAAAAAGACTCAAGAATTCAGAACAGGGTCAGGCGTGGTGGTTCATGCCTGTACTCTCAGCTATGCAAGAGGCAGAGATGGGAGAATCACAATTTAAAAAACCAAAAAACAAATAGCATAACAACAACAAAAAAGGTAGTGAAATCCTATCTCAAAAAACTAGCTGGGTGTGGTAGGTAGTACACATCTTGCAGTAAAAGGATTGTGGCCCAAGGCTGGCCCTGGGCAAAAGCAAAACCCTACCTGAAAAACAAAGCAAAAAGGGCTGGAGGCATGGATGGGTCAAGTGGAGCACTTGCCTAGCAAGCATAAGGCCCTGAGTTCAAACCCCAGTATCAGAAAAAAAAAAAGAGAGAATTCAGAAAAGCTGTAATATTCATGGTTGAAGTTGATTATAGAGAAAGGATACAG